TAGCTAAGATGTTATCATTCTAATGCGTTTTTTTCTAAAGATTCAAAGCATTAATCCTGTATTGCTTTGTGATTTTTAAAGTACGTATCATTTGCATAGAAATTTTGGTCCATCTAGCCTTTCTGGGCTCTGTAGAGCCAGAATCCTTTGTACTATAAATATGCCAGCATCTCTTCACTCATTATAACCAGCTCATTCTGTATTTTTAATGATTCCACTTGCCTTATTAAAGAAAATTGCAGAGGAAATCATCAAAGAGAAAAGCTAGGGTTCCTGGGGAGTTAAAAGCCCTGGTACTGGGCTGGCTTGTTCCAGTTCTGTGGTTAGGACAAATGAGTCAGCTTCATTGTGTATTTCCCAGAGAGCAGTTAGTCTTGAGGTTCTTCAACTGTGGGTGTTCAAAAGGTAAAAGACATGCAGTGTGGTCTCCTTCTAACCCTAATTCCTTGAGTGTATCTGTTTCCTTGGTTTCTTCCTGCCGTTTCTTTGGGTGACATTCCTCACCATGGACTGTGCGACAAAGGGAAACGGAAGTCCTTTAGACTGAGATGATGGTTGGTGACAAAGAGTGGTGACTGTGATGCTGTACATACTTGGTTTTTCATAAGTGACTTTAGTTATTGTGTTCCCTTCACTAGATTTAATATCAGAGGAACAACAGTAGGTGATAGAATAATGAGGTAATGCAGTATGCTCCTTCATTTCTTCTTTACGATGGACTTGCCAGGTCTTCTTCTCTACAGCTAACCACCTTTCCTATTAACAGTTAACACTTCCTCTGGACTTACTGAACGCAGACGTGCTAAGCGTTATGAACAGGTTGCTTTTCACAAACTATTTCTCTGCATGTGCTGCATGGGAATAGAATGAAAAGAAATTTCGTGTGTGCAGATGTAACTGCTGTTCACTTCAAGTGTGGTGACACATAGTCTAAAATAGGGTCCTTCAAATATCTGGTACTTGTTTCGATAATTGGTTAAAGAGTGCAACTTATGTTTTCTTAAAACTTGATTGGCATACTAATTAGCAGTTTTTGTTATTCATATGCACTTTTAATTATGTTCACTTAATTCTGTGCTAAGTCTTAAAATTCTGATTTTTCAATGCTATTTTCTTGCAAGTAGCTAAATAACTTAAGAATATCACATACCAAGATGATATACAACCCTTAAATATATCTCTAATTGAAAAGCTGAGAGTGTTACACAATTTTTAGTAGAATTTTTAAAGTGAACCCTATATTCTAACAGTCATCTACCCAAGCTGCTTACTGAAAAAGATTAGCCAAACTAAAAAGTGGCATGTTTTTTAGGTAATTATCAGTTTCTAAAGTAAAGTTGTACATCAAATATATAGTAGCAATCAAAATGTAAAAATAGTTTTTATATGGAATACAGAAATAGTAAAATAAACCAAAAATTAGCATAAATGTATAGTAATTTCTGCTTAAAGCCTGTCCTCAGGACCTTAAAGTAAATTTAAATCCATTTTTACTTTTTAAAAAATGCTACATTTCAAGCTGGAGAGATGGCTCAGCGGTTAAGAGCACTGACTGCTCTTCCAGGGGTCCTGAGTTCAATTCCAAGTAGCCACATGGTGGCTCACAACCATCTGTAATGGGATTGGATGCCCTCTTCTGGTGTCTGAAGACAGCTACAGTGTACTCATATACATAAAATAAGTAAATAAATCCTTTAAAAAAAAAGCTTTATTTCTATTATTGCATGTATACTTGAGGGCGCACACTACATTGTAGGTGTGACAATCAAGGACACTTTTGTGGAGTCTATTCTTTCCTTCCACTTTTATGAGGGATCCAGAGATTAAATCCAGGTCACCAGCAAAGCCCTCAGTTTTGTTTTATGCTGGTCTTTGTAGGCTGTTTTGACATTAAGATATATTTTGAAGTCAGTGATTTTGTAAATGTTTCTGTTACTGGCTATTACTTTTTAATTTAATGATACCAAAATTGAATTAATTCAGGGCTTTTTGATGTTTTTAACTTTCTAAACTTTATCCCAAGTATTCAAAGCTGGTTTCTGCTTTTAAAATAAAGATTGCAACTAAAAAGTAACGTGTTGTTTCAGGTGGGTCTTAGAAAGGCTAAAACCATATAAACTGTGTGAGAAAGAAAGACTGATGTTGAAACAGAAAATGTCACTGTACAGCCCCTTTGAGTGAATGAGATAGGACTCGTTCTCTGCCTCAGTTTTTATGTAGAGATTTATTAAATAAAATTTTAATTTAAGACAACATTTTTCTGAAGTATCACAGCTTTTTAAAATTTCTTCTGAAATAAATTAGAAATATAAAAGTATAAGAGATGACAGTCCTCACAAGAGACTGTCATATTGTATAAATATGCTTCACTGTATTGCAAATGCACCACACCGTGTCACTGTCTCTTTGAATAATAAATAAAATGGCAGTGGTCCTCTACTCTTTCTCCTGAGATCTCACTGCCTTCTTCTGGTGTCCATCCTCAGCTGGACTTTGAGAGATGAGATTGGCCAGGCTGGAGTGGGCACAATCGCACAACCTGGTGATCTCCTGTATTCAGGTGTCACCCTTTTGATGCTGGACATATCTCAAGAAATATCCTCCTTCTCTGCCTCCAGAACAGCTGGGACTTCAGACATGCACTTCCATGGCCCTGGACCTACTGTTTGTATAATCTACTTCCAAGTTCCACACACAAATCCTCAGATGACGGTTACAGGTGTAGTAAGTCTATACAGTTCAGGGAAAGGTGAATGATATGGTTATCTTTTATATTTATTAACACTTTTAAAAATGTCTTTCAGTGGCTGGGGAGATAGCTCAGTGCTTGCTTTGCAACCAGTAGGGGCTGAGCTTGGATTCCCAGCATGAACCTAAACACTGGGCGCAATGGGACACCTCTGTACCCGCATCATACGAGCATGAGGAGACATGCGTCCCAGGATTTCACCAGCTAGCCAGTCTAGCTAAAACTGAAGGCGACACCAGAGGGGTCACACACACACCCAACACAGATGCTTGTCAGTGGCATTTGTAGTAGTATACAAAGACGTTTTCTAAATCTTTTAAAAGAATTTTAATTTTTGTTGCTGTAACAAATGTGATCTTTAAAATTTTTATGCTAATTGGGTTTTGTTGATTTTTTTTAGAAATATAGTTGACTTATATCCTAATTATATTTCCAGTCATATTAATTTTCTAGCATTTCTATTACTTAGCCTATAGATTATTTTGATTTTTTTAAATATAGAAATTAGACACAAATGTAAATTTTATATCTTACTCATTTTTTTTCTTACTGTAGCAGCTGATAAGTATTAGGTATTGTGTCTTTCCCTGCCTGTGAGGAGGATGCCCACTGATATGTTTAGGTGGTTAGGGCTGTTGGGAGGAGCTTGTAAAAAGTCCCCAACACTCCTTTCTGTCTTGCTGTGTTCACAGTCTCTATTATGAGTGGGCTAGGCTTAATCAGACACATTTTCACTCTGCCGAGTTACTGTGTTTTTAGGAGTTTTTTCCTCTCATTGTATTAAATAGCTGATATTATTCATTAGTGCTTTGAAAATTCTGGACCAATTGATTTTACATTTGCTTCTTTAGTCCTTCAATAAGCTTGTTAGTCAAATGCTCTGTTACTCTGCAGAACAGTTTTATGAATGCTATTTATTTATTTATTTATTTATTTATTTATTTATTTTGGTTTTTCGAGACAGGGTTTCTCTGTATAGCCCTGGCTATCCTGGAACTCACTCTGTAGACCAGGCTGGCCTCGAACTCAGAAATCCACCTGCCTCTGCCTCCCAAGTGCTGGGATTAAAGGCGTGCGCCACCACTGCCCGGCCTTATGAATGCTTTTTAATTTGCTTTGATAGCTTAGAGTATACCAGTTTTTATTTAAAAATTTTTAAACAAAATATAGAAATACATAATTGCAACAAGAAAATTCTCACAATTTGCTTTTCTCTGAACATTTAGATTAATTTCTAGTCAGCTGAAGTTTTTACTGAGGAAATATGTATTTGTATTTTCCACAAGTTTTTTTTTGTTTTTTGTTTTTGTTTTTGTTTGTTTTTTGGACAGGGTTTCTCTTTGCAACCCTAACTGTCCTAGAGCTTTCTATATAAATCAGGCTGACCCCAAACTCACAGAAATCCACCTGTCTCTGCCTCTCAAGTGCTAGGCTTAAAGCATACACCAGGACCCAGCTTTTCCAAGACTTTTTTAACATGTAAAATTGCCAAATCAAAGCTTTATACATATTTTAAATTTAATATATAGTATTTAATTTTTAAAAAATATTATGTTCTGAAACTCCAGTACACTGCTGCTAAGAGTGTGAATCTGTGTAATCACATTCCCAAACTGTGACTGAAGCTGAACCTTGTGCACGTAATTTAGTGCAGCACTCACTCTAATAGACACACACCTGCCAGAACACACACACACACACACACACACACACACACACACACGCATGTGCAAAGCCGAGCAAATGCATGCCACTGAATTAAAGTCCACAAATAAAGCCATGATAGTAGAGGTCAGAAACGTTTCCCCTGGAGGAAGAGAAGTGACAGGAGCAGACACGGGGGAGACTCTAGATCTGATGACGCTCAGTCTGATAAACATGGAGAGAAGTTTGTTTGTTGACGACACTATCATCTTTTTTGTGCCTTTAGTCACTGTTAAGTCATTTGTCTTAACTACCAACTTGTAGTTTTAGGTCTTATGGACTTTCCATCTGCTGCATGTCAAAACATGGTGTTTTAAATGGCAAACCGAAGCTTCAGAATGAGCAATATTGGCTGTTAGGAGAGTATTGCCTGGATAATAAAGTGAGCTTTACGAGTCCCTTGTTCTTGAGTAGCTACTACTGCCACCCTCTCCTTTGCAGAGAGACTAGAATCTGCCTCGTTACCTGTGAGTCTCTCCTTTGGTGTGGAGCGTATAAAGGAGATGCTAGTGGAAGGTCTTCATTGTCTCTCTGACATCTGTTCTCTTCTTGACTCGGCTGCTCTTGGGACATCTTCAAATGATGTCAGAATCTGTTAACTCATTGGTTTACTCCTGTTACCATGTTACTCTTAGCTTCTTTGGGCTTTTTTTGTGGCCTTTATAAAGAGAAACATTTAAAAAATTGAATAGAGCATTGTTGTTTTTTTTTTTCTTGAGACAGCATTTAAAGTTGCCTTGGCCTCAAAATCCACTTTGTAGTTAAAGCTGGTCTTGGGTTCCTGATCCCCCTCTGCCTCCTAAGGGCTGTCATTCCAGGTCTAGATCCCCAAACGAGGCTAAATAGGATGTTTTACTTGAAGTAAAATTGTACATGAATTCTATCCGTGTGGTTTTATAAAATAGTACTACAGAAACTAGTGTGTCGCATGCTATTTTCTTTACTTTTTCAACCAGTACCAAGTTCCTAAGTGATCACTGAACTAAATATCTTGTTGTAGTAACTTAACTACTATGATGAAGTCTGCCTTTTTATGCTTTTGGTTGGAAGTGCTTTATTAAAATAATGTGTTTTAAATATATTATAGACTTATATTTTGACATTTTCAGTATTATTCAGAAATTGCTTGTGAATGTTTATTCTTGGTTTTTGTTTTAATATGCAATACATAGGCGCTCCGCTGTCGCCCGCATTCAGGAGTTCTTCAGGAGGAGAAAAGAAAGGAAAGAAATGGAAGAATTGGATACTTTGAACATTAGGAGGCCACTAGTAAAGATGGTTTATAAGGGCCACCGCAACTCCCGGACAATGGTACCAGCTGCTCATGGCATTCTTTGATGAGATTGCAGTTCGTGGTTTTTCTGTGGTGATTTTGTTATTTCTTTATTCAAGCATGTTTCTTTTAGTCTGGTAATATATTGCAAGAAAATTCTACCTTACTAAGGAAATATATGTAAGCTAGAAAAAATTATTTTAGCTTAGAATAAGAAGCTGTTGATTTTTGTTGTTGTTTTGCTTTGTTTATACTTGCCATCCTCCTTGGGAGTTTACTATTAACTTTTTTTTTAACTATTTTTTCTAAATTCTTTTCTTCTCCATCTCCAAGAGGATGTTGTCCCCCCCTCCCTCAACCACACCAGACCTCCCCATTCCCTGGGGCCCCAAGTCTCTTGAGGGTTATGTCCATCTTCTCTGACTGAGTCCAGACTAAGCAGTCCTCTGTTGTATATGTGTTGGGGGCCTCAAATTAGCTGGTGTATGCTGCCTGATTGCTGTCTCAGTATCTGAGAGATCTCAAGAGTCCAAGCTAGTTGAGACTGCTGGTCTTCCTATGGAGTCACCCTCCTCCTCAGCTTCTTCCTGCTTTTCCCTAATTCAGTCACAGGGGTCAGCAGCTCCTGTCCGCTGGTTGGGTAGAAATATCTGCATCTGACCCTTTCAGCCTCTCGTTGGGCCAGATCGTATGAGTCTTTTGCCCTTTACTATTACATTTTTTAAAGTTCATTTTACAACATTTTGTTAGTTTGGAAAATAAATCTGCATATGAAATCTAGATTGATTATAAAATATAGATACATTAGTTATAACACCTTTTAAACTAACAACTAAAAAGTGGCTTTGGTCACTCTGTTGCTCCTTGGTTTAATTTCTTCATCTTTGAAATAGCCAGGATAGACCAGGTGATCGAGGTCAGTTGTAGTGTTCAGAATTCCCAAATCTGCACACGCTGCGGAAGGTAACTAATGTAACTATTACTCTGTGTTACCGCAAAGTACTTGCAGATTGTTTTACCTTTTTTTAAGGAATAGGTAAAAAATAAACCGAAGTGAGTAAATAATTAGCTTTCCTTGTACATGTCATTGGTAATAACAATTTCATCATTTTTAAATGGATACTCATTTTTAATAGAAGTAACCAATTTGTATTTTATGCATTTTGGCAATTAAACTTTTAGATAAGACTAATTAAAGGTGGGCTGAGGATCTAACCGAGTGGCTGAGTGCTTGCCTAGTGTGCCCGTGCTGTCAGCTCATTTCTTAGCACAGAGGAGATGAAAGCACAAGTAAGCGCACAGCTGCAGTGTGGCTGCAGTGTGGCCTCCTTCCCCGCCTGCTTGTGTGAGCGCCAGGGGCAGCAGAAGCTTCAGGGGAAGTGATTCTTTAAGGCACTGTCTGCAGTATAAAGATCTTTTTATGCTCCTTTCATGTGTGTTTATTAAAATAGGATAGCTAGTACATGTATCATATTCCTTTGCTTGTTTGATTAACGATATGTTTACCTTCTTAACTCTGTGGGCTTCTAACAGTTAATGAAAAAAGTACTTTTTGTTCTTGGCAAATACAAAAGACAACAATTCCTTTATTCTATGAAATGTTGTTTCCTATATATGCTGAAATGACATGGTTTTTAGAAAGTTCATCTGTAAGTTTATACTTTTTTCCAATATACTGTTTTAAGCCCAGAAATTGCATTTCCTCATTTAGCATGTGTGAAGTACCTGTTGTGTGTCAAATCCTGTTGACATTTTCTCTTGGGGCGGGAGGGGAGGTAGGGATCCAGAAGGGAGGGCTTCCAATGCTTTTCCACCATGTTATTGCCCATGGTGAAGTGCTGTCATGATTTTAAGATTCTTAGAAGAAACAAACTTCAGCCTTTAATTTTTTTTAATAATTTTTTTCTATTTTTATTTTTTTAAGGTTTATTTATTTATGAGTACACTGTAACTGTCATCAGATACACCAGAAGAGGGCATCACCATTACAGATGGTTGTGAGCCACCATGTGGTTGCTGGGAATTGAACTCAGGACCTCTGGAAGAGCAGTCAGTGCTCTTAACCATTGAGCCATTTCTCCAGCCCCCTAACTTTTTTATTTTTAAAGTCAATTTATTTTCAACATGAGAATAGGATCTGCCTTTCTTTTGGTAACTGTGACTTGGGTATCCTGTTTCATAAAATCCCTCAGATAAAAGAAGCCAATTTCTGGGGTGCTAACTTTGTAATGAGCGGTTCCGATTGTGGCCATATCTTCATCTGGGACCGGCACACTGCTGAGCATTTGATGCTTCTGGAAGCTGATAATCATGTGGTCAACTGCCTGCAGCCCCATCCGTTTGACCCCAGTAAGTAAGACGTCTTCCTCACTGACTGGGAACTGCTGTGCTCATTCATCGGCTATAGCGACTATTACAGAAATCTGAATTATCTTACAAGTACTGCTAGATACAGTTATAGCTCTACATGGACTTAAGGAATTTGTTTTATGGATGGTTCACAAAGCCCTACCCCTAGCTAAGAAGATACTGGCAATTGAAGGCTACAAGGGAGCATCTGTTTCCTCAGGGATGTGGCTCCTGGAAGATCGTGTGCCCATGCTATGGTGGCTGGCGCTCAGGCACGTGCTGGCAGCATTCACTGATCTCAGTGGATTGAATAAATACACAGTTGGGAGGGGAGGCAGGACTGAGTATCCATCTGGGAAGAGCTGGAGAGGGACTAGAGGGTGGATTTAATCAGAACAGTGTGTACACATGTATGGAATTCTCAAAAAACAAATAATTTTTAAAGTTCCCAATCTCAAAAAGAAAGAAAAGAATGTGCGTGTGACAGATAGTCTTAAAAAATAAGTTTGTTCTTCTGATATTTAAGTTTTGTTGTCTCTTAGAGTCTGGCATGACATGTATTCAAAACAAACCTCCAAGCCTTTTTAAGTCCTCACAGGTCAGAATTAATTTACTAGCATAAAAGATAGTTGGCTTGTTCTTGCCTTCTATTTGAAGTGGCCTTATATTTCATAAGAAAACAATGAATAAGACATAAATTCGAGTGACTTCAAGTGATCTTAAATTTTTGTTCTATAGTTTGTTACTTTTAGGAAACATTTAAAGTATAACTAACAATTAATTATATAGTAAAAGACTGGAGAAATAGCTCAGCAGTTAAAAACAGTTGCTACTTTTTTTTTTTTTTTGAAACAGGGTTTCTCTGTGTATGTGAAGACTAACTGTCCTGGATTCTGAATTAGCTTTGTAGACCATACTGGCCTCAGACTCACAGGGATCTGCCTGCCTCGGCCTCCTGAGTGCTGAGATTAAAGGCACTGGCTAAATGTTTACTACTCTTGTAATGCACCCAAGCTGGCTCTCAGCACCCACATTAGGCAGCTCATAGCCACCAGACAATTTAAAGCAAATCTTTGGCTAGGTACAATCAATCAATCTCTCTCTCTCTCTCTCTCTCTCTCTCTCTCTCTCTCTCTCTCTCTCTCTCTCTATCTCTATCTCTATCTCTATCTCTATCTCTATCTCTCTCTCAATCTCTCTCTCTTCACCCCCCCTTTTGGTTTTTCAAGACAGGGTTTCTATCTCTGGCTGTCCTGGAACTCACTGTGTAGACCAGACTGGCCTACTCAGAACTCCGCCTGCCTCTGCCTCCCAAGTGCTTCGATTAAAGGTGTGCGCCACCACTGCCCAGCAGGTACAATCTTATATACCTTTAAACTCAATACTCAGGAGGCAGAGGCAGGTGGAACTCTGTGATTTCTAGGCCAGCCTGATCTTCATTGTGAGTTTCAGGACAGCTAAGACTATGTAGAGAGACCCTTTCTCAAAAAGCAAAACAAAACATCAAAAGTATTTATAGTAGTTTTCAACCTAAGTTTTGTTAATTTTGCACCCATGCTTAATATTTACATCTTGAATTTATGATAAAGATGTAAATTTTCTTTTTAGTTCTAGCCTCATCTGGCATAGATTATGACATAAAGATCTGGTCGCCACTAGAAGAGTCAAGAATTTTTAATCGAAAACTTGCTGATGAAGTAAGACTTTTACTATGCTTCTATTTTAATTTTTATCTAAAATGCTGTTTTAAGGGATAAAGTTTATTATCAACTACTAACATAAACTAAGACATTTGGTTAAGGAAGTCAAATCTTTAATCTCAGCACTTGTGAGACATAGGCAGGTAGATGTCTATGACTTCATGGTCTACGTAGCAAGTTCTAGGCCAGCCAGGGCTACATAATGAGACCATGTCTCAGAAAAAGAGGAGGAGGGAAAGGAGATCAAATCTTTTGAAAAATAAAAATGAGATAAGTAATACTAGAGTTAAAAATCAGATTAGTATCTTACTAATTATAATATTGACTTTAATAACACGTTAGGTATATATCTTAAAGAAAAGTAAGTTTGACTGTCATGCTTATTGTGTATAACAAAAATCATTTAAAGTTCTGTCTTCATAAAAGTGTTTTAGCTGAAAATAAATGGATTCTGAAGCCTGTAATCCACCACCATTCGGGAGACGAGCCACATGTCAAGACCCTGTCACAATAAGCAAAACAGAACAGAGAAAGGGGGGGGGGTGAGAGGTGGGAGGAGGAGAAAGAAAATAATCTTACTGTATGCCCCCTCTATAATTAAGTTTGAGCATAAAGAAGGGTTATATTATGCAGGAAAATGGGTAGAAACCAGATGACCATGTTTTGTTTTTTTTTTTTTAATTTTTATTTTGAGTTCTTCACAGAGGGAATTAGGACTACCCCTTCAGTGTGAGTAGGTAGAGGAACAAGTGAACAGATGCTTTTTCTTTATTGCTGTTCTAAGACTCCCTTATCCTTGGTTTTATTTGTTTTCATTAACATTTTTAGCTAGCATACAAAATACTGGGTCTCAGTGAAAGGGGGTGAGGGTGGGGGTGATTTTGCATCATCATTACAAACTTAATCATTGAGCCTTAATCATTCCTACTCCCTCTTACATCAAGAGTCCTTGTCTCTCCCCAAGACAGTCTCCCTTCTGCTTCCTGCTTATATCTGTGTGTATGTGTATAAAATTCTGCATATGAGAAAAACCATAGTTCTTTCATATCATATGTGTATAAAATTATGCATATAAGAGAAGACACAAGTATGTGGTCTCTGTATTATTCCTGTTACCGTCTCTTACCCCCGCTTTTCCTCTTAGATCTCTTCCTCCCCACTCCTACTCACCCTTCTGTCTTATGCATATGATGTATTCTTCCTGGCAGAAAAAACATACTTTGTCTTTCTGCATCTGTCTTATTCCACTTAACATGGTAATCTGGTTTCTGCCCATTTTTCTCATAATCTCACCCTTCTTTATACTGACTTAAACTTAACTGTGTATATACCACATTTTCTTTGTCTGTGGATATCTAGACTGGTTCTGTAGTTTGACTTTTATGAGTGTTGCAGCAATAAACATATTCATGAGTATCTCTATGCACTGCTGGCTCAGATTCCTTTGGGTATAAACATGGAAGTGGTACAGCTAAGTTATACTTAGTCCTATCTGTAGCCTTTGGGGGAGGCTTCATGCTGATTCCCACAGGGGCTGTGGACCAGTTTATTGTTCCACCAGCAACATCTTTTTTCACCCTTCCTTTCCAGGATTTCTTGTCACTTGTTTTCCTGATGATAGACCTTTTTATTGTGGTGAGGTGATATCTCAGTCTAGAATTTTTTGTTGTTGTTTTGAGTCAGGATCTTACTTTACAGTTCCAACTGACCTTGAACTGGCAGTGTGGACCAGGCTGGCCTCAAACTTGTCTGTGCCTGTGCAAGTGTCAGGATGAAAGTTGTACCACCTCACCCAGCTCCCACTGTAGTGACCTCCCTGATGGCTGATGGACAGGGTTGAACATTTTCTTTCTTTTTACTGGCCACTTATATTTTATTTGAGACTTTCTGTCCAGTTTTTTTCTCTATTTATTGGTTGGACAACTTGGTTTTTTGAAATTTAATTTTTTCTGCTCTCTGTTAGATGCACTGTGTACCCGGCTTTTTCTCCCATTCTAGACTGTCTCTTTACTATGTTAATGGTGCAGATGCCTTTTAAGTTGATAGAATCCTATTGGTTCACTGTTGGAATTATTTTTTGAACGATTAGAATCCTTTTCCTAATGTTCCTCTCTGTGTTTGTATCTTATAGTGTTTCCCCCTAACACTAATAGTGTCAAGTCTTAAGGATCCATTTTGAGTTGAATTTTGGGCAGAATTAGAGAGGTGGTTGATCTCATTCTATATGGACGTTTCAAGTTTTCCTAGCACCATTTGCTTAAAAGGCTCTCTCTTTAGTGTATGTTTTTTTGACACTACAGAAATCTTTCACTTTTTTATTTAAAGATGTATGTATATTGTATGTATATGTATCATGTATAATATGCACACCTTAGCTCTGTCTTCAGACTCACCAGAAGAGGGCATCGGATCCCATTACAGATGGTTGTGAGCCACCATGTGGTTGCTGGGAATTGAACTCAGGACCTCTGGAAGAGCAGTCAGTGCTCTTAACTGCTGAGCCATCTCTCCAGCCCAATCTTTTCACTTCCTTGAGTAGATTTATTCACGGCTCTAGGACATATTTATGTATTTTGATATTATTGCGAATGGGGTTGTTCTCATTTCTTTCTCAGAATGTTTACTATAGGAAAACTGATGCTTTTATATGTTGAGTTTTGTATACTGTTACTTTGCTTGAGGGACAAGAAAGGATAAAAGAGACTAGATATGGTTCAAGTACAAGATATGCTTGAATTAAATAAGGTAATTATGAAACCCATCACTTTGAAGTACAACAAATATAAATTAATTTTTTAAAGAAATGCTGGCCTCTGATCTTCTTTTAACTGGAAGTAATTGTTTGACATTGAATAGCCTTAAGATAGAAATATAGACATCACACATAAAATCAATGAAAGATATTTGTATTAAGACTTGCTAAATTTTGAAACTGTTTTCATACTCTTTAAAGCAAAGGTGCTGTCACTGTGTCAACTTTGACATACTTATTAATTGCCGTAGGTTATAACTCGAAATGAACTCATGCTGGAAGAGACTAGAAACACCATTACCGTCCCAGCCTCTTTCATGTTGAGGATGTTGGCATCACTGAACCATATCCGAGCTGGTAAGAACGTCTACTCTATTGTTAAAATCATTATTTTATTTGAAAACAGTAAGCCCTACCTTGTAGAGGTCTACGTGATTTTCTTAATGTCCAAAGTTGAAATCAACAACTTTGGAACTAGGATTTCTTTCTGTGAATGCTTAGCACTGTGAACTATTTCCTTATAAACCAAGTTTACTAGAAAATGGTAAAATGAAAGCACAGTCACTTGAGAACACTGTCTTAGATAATCTTCCCACAACACAACTGTACATAGTGCTTGGAGTACAGTGCACTGCTGGGTGTGGTGGCACTCCCTACACACAAGGGAGGTGGAGGGATAGATAACGGAGGCACAGCTGTCCAAAGTCACCCTAGGCTACATAGTAAGTTCAAGGCTAGCCAGAGATACATAAGATCCTACATCCACTAACAAAAAAAATAAAGTTAGGCTAAATATACTTTAACGTAGATTTATTTTTTAAAAAAATCAATGCCCTAATGAAAAACAAATATTATATGGTAAGAAGGTTATAATAGTGTATTTTTCAATAATTTTTTAAGATTTACTTATCCTTATTTTATGTGTATGGGTTTTCCTTCATGTATATCTGTGTACTATATGTATGCAGTGCTCACAGAAGCCAGAAGAAGGTATTGGGTCCTCTGGAACTGAAGTTACAGACTACGGTTAGCTGCTATGTGGGTGCTGGGAACTGAAGCCAGGTTATATAAGTGCTCTTAATTACTGAGCCATTTCTCCAACCTCTTAATACTCTTTTTAGATGATAAACTCTGGTTCAGTGACTCAGATCCAAAAATCTATGTATCATTACAACTAATGTTCAAGAGTAAATTGTGTAATCTGTATTTATAACAGTGTGTTGCCGGGTTGTGGTAGCGCACGCCTTTAATCCCAGCACTTGGGAGGCAGAGGCAGGCGGATTTCTGAGTTCGATGCCAGCCTGGTCTACAGAGTGAGTTCCAGGACAGCCAGGGCTACACAGAGAAACCCTGTCTCAAAAAACCAAAACAAACAAACAAACAAAACAGTGTGTATTATGAACATGTTTATCACTTCTCAATGAGTTCATAAATGCATTCACATGTTGGATATTATGCATCATTTATAGAGTACTTATATTGTATCAAATATTAACTGTTTGTTTGTTTGTTTGTTTGTTTAGAGGGTTTCTCTGTAGTCCTAGTTGTCCTGAAGTTTGCTGTGTAGACCAGGCTGGCCTCAAATTCACAGAGACCCACCTGCCTCTGCCTCCTGAGTACAGGATTAAACACATGCACCACCAAATACTAGCCCTTTAAAAAAATTAAAAATTTTATTTTAGATTTACTTGTTTACTTTATTTTATGATATGAGTATTTTGCATGCATGTGCACATGCATGCCTAACATAGAGGAAGCTCAAAAGAGAGTGTTGGATACTCTTGAACTGGAGTTGCAGTTGGTTGTAAGCCAGTGGTGTTGAGAACTGAACCTGGGTCTTCTACAAAACCAGCAAGTGCCCCTGTCCTCTGAGACATCTGTCCAGTCTCTCAAATATTAACTCTTTAAAGTAGGCTTTCGTAATGTGCCCAGGCCATTACCTAAAGAACATTAAAACCTGACTTGAACTACATCCCTTTTGACTTAGGGTTTCACGTACAGCCATGTAGTTAGGCCATTACTCTGACATGCAAGCCCTGGATGATAAACCAAAATCTTTCTCTCCTTAGAGTTTCTATAATTAAACTGTCCCCTTCCATCTGATGTTTGGTGTCCTTTGTAGTGGACATTTCTTTAAGCCTGACCTTAATATTTTCCACATTACTTGGGGGAAATGTGCCTGTCGTACATGTCTTAAATGCTATCCTTACTGTGGCAGTGCCTCTGTGCCATTGTCTTCATACACCATGGTGTGCTACAGCTTATCTTCATAACTCACATTCATTCCTTCAGTAAACCTTACTCTAGGGTAGGGCTCTGTGGCACAGTGCTTGCTTACTTACTGTGCCTGAGGCTCCTAGATTGAATCCCCAGCACAGCACAGCAGAAACAAAACAAGGACATTAGACACCTTCATTGAACATCCTGTATAAGCCCTGAGGACAGAAAGATAAACATAAACTTTTGCCATCCAGAAGCCAATAGTCTAGACTGAAAACACAGGTTCACAAGTAGTGTAACTGGGGTCATCATTGTAAGGTTCATAAAGAGTTTCCAGAAAATGTGGATGAAGGAACTCATGAATAAGTTGGGAAAGTTTCACAAAAAGCATAATAATTGTATTGGACAAAACCATGATCTAATAAATTGTGCAAAAATGCCTCAAGCAAAGGAACAGCAAGTGCAAATGGCATAAGCCCGGGAGAGCATGGTACAGTGGCCACCAACCTTATGACATATGTGTACACTTAAATATTGAACCAGATAGTGGTTATCTTGAGGGGAGAAGCTACATTTATTCTAGTCATCATTGTTATCTCAGGGTTAGCCAATTCCTGAAATATAGTAGATAATGAATTTTAAGAAACCTTACAGACAGAAGTACACAATCCTCTTACAGGTGTGTCCAACTGGTTGCCCACAGGTCATGTGTCGCAGAATAGCTGTGAACGCAGCTCAGTGGAAAATCATAAACTCATTGAAAACACTGTTTTCTGTATAAGAGGTTTTTTTTGCTTTGCAAAGTTTTTGTTTGTTTTGTTTTTGCAACTTGGTTGCTCCTGTCGTAGAGCGTGGACTTTGTGAGTGACATCAGATCACAGTGTCAGAAGGTTGAACACATCTGCATGGTCTCTAGGCATTTCTCTCTTGCATCCCCTTTCCAGGTCCCCTTAAAAACACCTAATATTCATTGTTAAAACTTAACCTACAAGGAACCTTGTTTGAAAACCACTACAAGAGAATGTAATATATCAAAGTCTTGTATGTTTACCATTATATAGTATTGTATATATGGTATTATGTTTTCATTCTTTACCTCTTGAGGCAAAATTAGAAGCTTATATTGGGGCTGGAGGCAAGGCTCAGTTAAGAGTACATACTGCTCTTCCAGAAGACTGACATTAGGCGGCTCACAGCTGCCTGTGTCACTAGCTCCAGGGGCTTCCAGGGCCTCTGGCCTCAGCAGGCACCTGCACTCAATATACACATGGATGTGCATGCACAGATAGATCATTTAAAATACTGAAAAGTAAATCTTAAAAAAACTTTATGTGCCGGGCAGTGGTGGTGCACATCTTTAATCCCAGCACTTGGGAGACAGAGGCAGGCGGATTTCTGAGTTCGAGAGTTCGAGGCTAGCCTGGTCTACAGAGTGAGTTCCACGACAGCCAGGGCTACACAGAGAAACCCTGTCTCGAAAAACCAAACCGAAAAAAAAAAAACAAACAAAACAAAAACAACAAAAAACAACTTTATGTAGCCAGGTTTGGTGATATATGACTTTAATCTAGCCCTAGAAATGCAAGGCAGTAGATCTCTGCGAGTTAGAGGCCAGCTTGGTCTACAGAACTAGTTCCAGGCCAGCCAAGGCTGCTTAGTAAGACCTTGTTTCTGAAAAAACAAAAACAAACAAAAAAAATCTGTATATACTAGTGAGTAGAGTTTTACATATTAAGTATTCGAATGAGAAATATTTTTCATGGTTTCAAACAAAGTTCTAGGGATTATTTATGATAGATACTAAAAGGATTTTGAGAGTGTGTGATTCTCATGTCTGTTTTCCAGATCGTCTGGAAGGTGACAGATCGGAAGGTTCAGGTCAGGAGAATGAAAATGAGGATGAAGAATAAACAACTCCTTTGCAAGCACTTAGATGTTCTGAGATTTGTATACGACATTTATTAAATTTTTTTCTTTACAGAACTTTAGTGCAATTTAAGGCTATGGGTTTTTGGAGTGCTTCCCCATTTGGGGGATAACCAAACCTTGGTTTGGAATGAGTGTGTGCATGAGTTGGGAGAGTGTGTAAAACAAAACAAGCAAAATGTTTTTGAAACTTTTTGCCGTGTATGGAGTCCTAAAAAAATGCAAAGTGCAATACTTCCCTAACCCTCAGATGTGGGAGCTTGGATCAGTGTTGAAAAGTCATTTTCATTGTAGTGAAAATGTTGGTTCAAATAAATTTCTACACTTGCCATTTGCATGTTTGTTGCTTTCTAATTAAAGATGTTGGTTGCTTTAAGATATCCTAAATTTGACTTTTTATTTAATTCTTTGCTACTTTGACCCACATTTTCCAGTCATTTTTCTAACAAAAGATGACTTGCTGTTTTCTGAATTTAATAGCCTTTTCCATCTTGACCTCTGTGTCAGATAATGTAAAAGGGCCTTTATGTTTCCCTTCCCTTTTTCTTCATCTTGAGCTACTTCTCATGACATGTTGATACCTTATCCATATCAGTCAGAGCCTTATGGATGGTTTACATTAGCACAAACTCAAGGTGCTGTCTTCTGGCCTACCTCTCTGTCCATATTCCTAATTTGCTACAGTCAGGTAGCTGACTCTAGCATCCACCTCCACTTCAGACAGTCCTCCACATACCCAGGCCTGTGTGCACCTTACCTGTTTCCTAAACTGCTCTGTAGACCTAACCTCTTCCACCTCCTACGTTGTCTGTCTCTGTTTCCCTTGATCTAATTACATTCGTACATTTCTCCAACCCACTTACAAAAATAAAGTCTTGTCTCAGCACCAGGTTATTGCGTATTTATATGCTTTCTAATCATCACCCGCACAAGCATCCGTGGCTGCAAGCCTCCTCCAGAAGCCAAGACCTACCAGATGAGAGACAGGCAGTTGCTGCCTCCTGTTACCTTACAGATAAAAATACCTTGGCAGGCAGAGTGGTGTACCTGTTGTTTAGTCCTGACAAAAGGACTAGTTCAAAATCAGGAGTCACACACACACACACACACACACACACACACACACAGAGAGAGAGAGAGAGAGAGAGAGAGGGAGGGAGGGAGGGAGGGAGGGAGGGAGGGAGGGAGGCAGGGAGGAAGGGAGGGAGGGAGGGAGGTAGGGCGGGCATTTGCTGTTTATAGGCAGGATAAGACATATGTCTTTGGTTTTCTAATCAGTGAGCTCTTGGCATCTGTCTCACTTACAAAACAGTTCAGCTGTGCAGCTTCTCTGTGACCTTTAGTTGAGCCAGTGACTATTTCACTATACCTCCTTGCCAGCCAGCAGTTGGAGAAGAAATTAAATGCTTGGGCTGATCATTGAACACAGCTTGAAACAGCCATCCTGTACTACCAAAATTAAAACACTGGCACCAGAGAGAAAATGGAGCTCTCAATGGCAGAACTATAGCTCCCTACTGTGTCTCATCCGTCACCTTCAGTGCCAGCCTTGAGCTCTAGCTCTAGACCACATCTGGAAGTGGCTTCCAGACCCTGCAGAGCTGCCTGATAGATGAAGGCCAGAGCAGATCCAATAGCCTGCCAGTCATCTCAAGCAAGGGCCCCTCTCTACTGGTGCTTTTAGCGTATTTGCTATGCCAGCTGCTTTTTGTTAAAAGCAGTTCACTTTTGGTTTAATTAGCAGGTAGCTTAACTGTTCCTGTTATTTTCCATGACCTAAATATCCTGCCAGAAGAATTGACTCAATCAGATACTGAGAGTAAAGACATAAACTGTCTCCAGCTGGGCCGTGAACAGTTACGAGGATATAGCAGCAACACAGGGATATCTCTGTGAGGAACATGGACCTCTTACCCACAAGATGGCTTCAAACTCAAGAGCACCTGCTGCTGACAGAAGACAGCTTTGTCATGGAAAATAGTGTGACATTAGGCCAGTGCCATGGATTTGCTAGAGGGCAGAGGGTGCCGGAAAACTCAGGTCAAAGGGTAACTGGTAGGCAAAGATCAGAACAAAGGCAAATGGCAGCAAGTGTCTACACTGTCCCTGTGTACTGATGGAGATATGGGAACTGTATGTGTTTTGTTCATTTTCCTAGAGTGGGCCAGCTAGACAAATAATTAAGGGTACATAGCAAAGACAGAATTAATCCTGGCCACTTCCAGGATTCAGTGGAGAGAGGGTGGCAGAGAGACTGGCCTCAGGGTTCACCTACATGCTCATCAAAAAAATGATGGCGTCATTATAAACAAGCCAGGATAAAGAATGAGCTTTGTGCAGGGGTGGTAATGTTTATGCTACAGTCTGCTACTCAGTATCTTTGCTTTGATATGAAAGGAAGACTGGATGGATAGGTAGAGAGGTAGATGAAAAAGCACTAGTTCATTAAACCTCCTAAAAACCAGGCTTAAAGCTGGACAAGATGGCGCACCTTTAATCCCAGCACTTGGGAGGCAGAGGCAGGATGATTTCTGTGAGTTTGAGACGAGCCTGGGCTACGATAAAAAAGAAAAATCAGACTTACAGTGTCTTGAATACAGTATGCAACAGTCATGTAACCCAATACTTCTTGAGTTTATCTGCCTTGGGGATGCTCACTCCCAACCCTGCAGTAAGTTTCCCCTTGCTATTCAGTCCTCTTTTTAGCCTACGGGGAGGGGAGATAGGAATAGGGCTGTAGGAAGCTGGGGGACGGGACAGGTACCCAGAAATGTCCATAGACCACAAGTCTAAGTGCAAACTAACAATTTACAGATACACACATTCCAAAAACATTTAATCAGGTAAACAAAACTAGTCTAAATACACTTTTACTTATTCATAAATACTGATTTACATATAATAACCCAGACAATTTTATCTTCAAAAACACCATCCAAAACTTCAAGTTAAATATATTTCAGGATTAGGTTGGGTTTTTATTTATTTTTGAAGTTTGGTTTTTAACCACGTCTTCCTTCAGGTATACGTTATCAGAACAGCACACAGGACATTTTTAAGCATGTCTGTACCACCAACAGATCAGTTTCTAGGCATACAGGCTTTCTACCACACCTGACATGGTTTCATCACCCAAGTCCTCTGACACCACCCTTTCCTTTGGGAGTAACTGGCTCATCTGTTGAGTTCTGGTGTTTCAAACAGTGTCAAAAGGAAAACCAGAAATGGCTGCTGGCTCCTAAGCTATTAATACTGCTTTTAAAATATTCTTAAACACAGTTTACATTGACCAGAATTGTGCTTTCAGTAATCGTGTGCATATCAGTGTTTGTGCTTTGAGTTCTTTCCAATAGATGATCACCTGACATTGGGACTTTTTTTTTTTTTGGTATGGAGCTCCTTGTTTCTTCCTTTATTAATAAAGCCCAGCTGGTCCACTCTGCTAGGGATGCCATTTCACCTACCCGTGCCTCACTCTCCTTGGACTACAGGCTTGATCTTCTGTCAGCCTCATGACCAAGACCTAGTGATTTGGCCCTTCATTTTTAGACACAGCTTCTCTATGGCCTTCCTGGATTCTCATTGTCTCTCTCCCCAACCCACAGACCAGTACCTGCCTGTCCCACCTTGTAGACACTTATGGCTGGTCACACCCATGTTCCTGTGGTTCATGTCATAACTGACTTCACTCCTCATCCCCAGGCTGGTTCTGTACACTCTGGGGAATGGCATGGACACCCATACTTCCTCTGCGGCAGGGCTTGGAAGATACAACCTCTGGGAAGTGGGAGCCAGACACTGTCACTGCTGGACAGAGCAGTCCTCAGCACCTAACAGCATTGGGTTGGGGTGGGATGCTCTTCCTGGGTCTAAGGGAACTGATGTAGTTTGGGGCTCTACAGATCATCTTTAATTCAGGGTAAGGTGGGAATGTTTCTTTTTTTGTGCAATCAGGCCATTCATGTGGAAAGAAGACTTTCCTACTGGAAAAGCCCATTTCTGTTCCTACTAACCTTTCTTTCCAGATCCTACTCAGCTTTCTAAACTCCTCTCTATTGTCTGCCTCTTGTCAGCATTCCTTCATTTCCACTAAGTCCTTTTGTAGTAAATAAGTCCCCAGGCAACAACCCTCAACATAATTATCCTGAATTGGATAACAAGTCTTTTGAAGGCTCTCGGTATTAGAGATCCCAGTAAACCAGGAAAGAGTCTGCCCCATTAGTTACACTGAGAAGCAAGACCAGTGGCTCAGGTCTCCTTGCACCTGTGTCCTGTGCTGGGCGCACCACAAGCATTTCTGTAATCTACCAAGCACCCTATGCAGGCAGGATCCTTGGATTCTGTGTCCCTATATAGAAATTGATTTAAAAACTTCATTTTACAGATGTGAGAACACTTAGCTAGTTAATTGGCAACCTGATATCTTAACTCACGGCCATCACACACTGTATCATCCCTACTATATCCCGCCCGCCTGAAGCAAGGGGACATAGTGCATCAAGTCTTCAATTAGTGCCTAGCACCTAATAGGCTCTTAGCTGTTTTAAGTGAGGCACACGGTGGGACCTAACGCGCGCCTGTTCTCCGGCCCCCTCTTGTTTAGCCACATCATCCTCATTATTCCTAGTTTGGGTCTAGACAAGAGGAGGAAATGATGTTGACACAATGAGAGAGCTTGCTGCTCTGTTGAGATAGATCAGTTATGACTGCTTTTTCAGATGGACAATGTGCTCCTTAGACTTGCGTGCGCAGAGACATTTCTCAATGATCAGAAGATGAACTCAGGAAACATGTACAACCTCATTTCAGCTCTTTTGCTAATACTGAGTTTGTCCTGGTGGTGATGGTTTAATTCTTGGCTGAAAGATGGAATCAGTTATACAAATGAGAGTCTACGGACATTAGCACCAGTGGGTCATGGTCTTTACAATCTTCCCCCCTGCCTGTCCCAGGAACAGTGATTTGTTTAAGCTCACACAGCCCAGTATAGGAAGTTCCTGTGAACTCCAACAAGGGTCACACATGTAAGAATCAGCTAGCTACAAGGCTAGTGGCCCAGAAGAACAAGCCACCATGTTTTTTGTTTGTTTTGTTTCCTCTCCACAGCCATGCTGCTGCCATCTACTGTCTAAGGTCTTGAACTCCAATTTGGATTGTCTGGTCAGGGAAATTCGAGGTGCTGAGCTGTGTACACTGTAGTGCTGGGCCCAGTGCCTTCTTGGATGCAGCAGGTCACACAGCTGGCACAGGAACCACAACAAGGGTAAAATCTGGGTAAAGCAGCAGCAGAGATGGGCCGCGGCCCTACAAGTGATCCTGTCAGAATCATAAGGCCTGAGGTATTTAAGCAAAACAAGTGGCCAAATGTCTCACCTACCACTACCAATGGCTCCCCTGGGGAGGGCCTCAGGCCTGCCGCTGCACAGTACTCTGCAGCAGTGCTTGGTTTGGTGCTGACAAATCCACAGTGTTAGGTAGATGAGTGGGCCTCACTCCTTTAAAGTGGGTGGGAGTGAAATTCAGTGTTCTAGGTCAGATCTCTCCTTGAAAACTGGTGATTCTGGGGTCAGCCAGTAGGGTTCAGGGGCCTCAGCATCACCATCGGTTCCATAAAGCCTAGCCCAGGGCAATCAGGGATGAGCGCTCTACCCTTTGAGTCTCAAGCCAATCCATTGCACTGACTGACAGCCCATACCCAGGGGGCGTGCCCCACGTCGGTGCATACTGTGTAATTGGAAATAGGGTTCCTCCAGATAGCAGACAAGTGCTAGAAAAAGAGAACAGAATACAGAGAGAAGACAGGTGCTGCCAGGAGAGCGGGACCCACCCTCCCTGCCACTCCATCCGAAGTCCTGCCAATCCCCTGCACAGCTGACCTGCAGTAGGGGCCAAAATTAACCACCCAAAGGCACAAGCCAAGCCTCAGGAACCACAGGCAGGGCACTGCCACACCAGGAGCCCAGCAGCCCACAGGAAACACTTGAAAAGCACTCGGGGATGGCTGCCTCGTGGCTAATACGGCAAGGTCTTAGACTCTTCCCCTGCTCTGCGAGGTGCACAGCCCTGCTCATCGCTTGTCTAAAGCACCCAGGCTTAAGAGCAGCAGAAAAGATCGTCTTCCAGACCCCGCTGCAAGCACTCAAAACCCAAACTTCATGTTTTAGCTCAAAAAAGAGTCCAAGCCAACAAACCCCACCCACCCTCCCACATCTGCCTCAGCCAGGCACTCTCTTCTTACCCATGTCTCAGTAGTCAGTCAGCATTTAGGACCACCCTCTAGAGCCAAGCAGTACAAAGGTGTGAGGGCCAGAGCATGAAGGTGGCTCTTCCTGTGCTCACTGGGCAACACCCTCAAAAGTATACAGATGCTGGGTCACTCACCAGTCATGTTCAGCTTGTCCCCACCCCTTAAATTACAGATTCAGAAGACATCAAAGATCAGAGCTGGAATTATCTTGGAGGCTACTTGTTCCAACTCCTCACACTGTTTTCTCCAAATGGCCTAGTGACAAGACAGGATGTCCCAGATGATGTGCAGACAAAAACCAAGATGGGTCAAGAACCCGGGCTGTGAAGTCAGGTCCAGTGCCCTTTCTACCTTGTGCCAGCCCCAAAGTTGCAATGACAGTCACAATTGTCTCTGGAAAGTGAGGAAAGTGTTTGCCAGTCACTCAAGCATCTTCTATATCTCCTGTGTAAGGGATTTCCTCCCAAATTCTCCTCAGCTGTGCATGACCTCACAGTCCCAGTCTTTGTGATACGCTCTACTCTCCAGGTTTTATTATTCTGGAAATGAAATGCCTGGTACTCACCCTTGTCTTTTATAGTGGTTTCTCCCTTCTTTTCAAATAATAATGATAAAAATCTGTCATCAAGGAAGTGGGTGGGGTGGCCACATCTTGGGTGGCCTGTAGCAGGTGCCACCAAAGGCCAAGTCCTAACTAGGGCAGTAGATACGGAGTGTCTATGCAGGATGCTCTACTTCTGGGTGCTCTCTGGACTGTTTTTACATTTAGTCTAGTACTTGTGACCCCATGCTGCCTGAATCAAGCACACAGAGCCCCCAGATGGTCTGACAGTGCTAAGGTGAGCTGTGCTGCCCCCATGAAGTACACTGAGTAGGGATTGCCTCTAAAGCCCTCACTGAGACCAGGGGCAGCTAGACCAGTTGGATACCAATGCAGACAAGATCCACCACGTAGTGGTTTCCTTAGCCACATCTCCATCTGCTTCCATGTGCTTTGGAAGCCTTGCCCCATCCCAGGGGCCCTGAACCAGCCCACATGTGCCTTTACAGCAGACAACTGAAGTCAGACTGGAGACAGTACAATACTTTCAATCCTCCTGGCTGCATACCAGATGTTTCTTTCCCAGCTCCTGGCCCTCTCTGAGTGGTGACATGTTTCAGGTCTTGGCACAGGCACCAGCACCAGTAGCTCCGCTGCGGCCCCAGTCCCCTCTGAAGCTTTCATCTCTGTTCTGCAGCTAAGACATTCCCTTCCTTGATGCTCTGTAGCTGCAGCCTCTGATTCACAAGAGTCCTGCTGCCTCGACGGCCCCCAAAGCTAGCCCCTGGGACAGTCCGTGCTGTGAACAAGACCCCTGGCAGAGCCTCCTCCCCAAATAAGTTGATTTTGGCTTCAGCCTCAATGGCTTTAGCCAAGCTGGCTGCATAACTGTCCAAGGATTTGTGTACTTCAGCTTTCACATGAAGAATAGAGTTCTTGGCAGCCTCTGTGGGAGAAGGCAGAAAGGAAGGTTAGCAAAAAGGGATACGGCCTCTGTTGGCGTGCTACTCCAGGGAGAAGAGACAAGCGGAGATTACAGGTATGGATTTTGACAGAGTCCCCAGACTAAAATTTTGGACTTCACAATTTACTATCTGAGAAATGCCAGACATAGTTTAGTTTCCTTGTCTATGAAGAGAAGAAATCTCTTACTTCACATGGTTACTGTGACAAGTGAATGAGTAAATTCTTCCTGAAATGTTTTAGCTTTTACGTCTTCAAAGGGATTCTCTTCTTGCAGCTCCTGGGAATAGCCTGGCCTGTAAACTTGCACAGACTCAAATGCCATGTCTCCCCTCCATTTCCCTCAGTGCCTCCCTCATTGGAGAAAGCCTCAGGTTGGGAAGTGATGTCAACAATTGCACCGTCCTGTGAAGGATGAGGAGCTCTGACACCTACACTGAATGGAAAGGAGGATCAGAGGTGGCTCCTAATGACCAAGCCTGAGCAGCGAGTCACAGACCTTACTGCCTAAGCTCTTGGGATGTCTGGGAGACCTTCTCCCCTTAATGTTTTCTGGAGAACAGGCCGTTTGTGCCCCACTCTCCAGGAGGGAAGTGGAGACCTTAGCAGTCCCATCTTACCCCCTACACAGCACAGCATAGCTGCCATCCCCTGGAGCTCCTTGCTCTCAGCACCCAACCAGCAGAGGGCGCTTCCAGCCCGTCCCATGACACAAAGGCTGCGCTCCGCGTGAGACGTTTGAGGAGGAGCTGGACTCATTGTCCTGTAGGAAGGTAATGTAAACTCTCAAGGCTGCTGGCTAGCTCTATATTGAATCTGCTTTACCAGAGAAGTAGATGCTTAGTTAGCATCCTTTCTGAGCTCCTTCTACCGCCTCTCCCCTCGCTCGGCAAGGGAGTGGGCAGTGGCAGATGGAGACTTATTTGCATACTCAGCATTTATACCTTAAAGCCCCTGGCTCCAGCAGGCTCCTGTTATACCAATGGCTCGTTACCAGTGGCTATTCTCACTTGGAGACTAAGAGAAAAGAAACTCACACACCCAACGCATCCCCCAAGAAGTGACTCCTCTTGGCTTGTCTGCAATGGAAACTAGCCCCAGGCCTCAAAGCCACAAGGATGCTCTGTGTTAACAGATGAAGCAGGAAAACCCAATAAACGAGCTCCTGTCCCTGTAGGTTCCAGGGCCATTCATCAGGATAGCAGCTTGGCCTCCACTCACCGGGCCATATTTCCACTGTCCATCAGAGGGGGCGGGCTGAGAGGCCAGGTTCAGATTTATAACCACACATCATCCATAAGGTAGAGCAGCTACTATGAACTACTGTCGGGGGAGGGAGGCACGGAAACTATTTTATCCACTCAGGCTAGTTCCTAAGAAAGATGCAAATTGTTCTGAGTTCTCTCTCTCTGTCTCTGTGGGTGTCCTTGTGTGTGTGAGTGTCTGTATGTGTGTCTGTGTGTGTATGTAAATGTGTGTGCCTATGTATGTCTCTGTATATGTGTTTCCACGCTATGTGTGTGTTTATGGTATCTGTTGTTTGGGTGTCTGTCTATGTGTGAGACTGTGTATAAGTGACTGTGTACCTGTGTGTCTGAGTGTGTGTGTGTGAGTGAAACTGTGTGTCTCTGTGTATATGTAACTGTGTGTGTGGGTGACTGTATATGTATGTGTCTGTGTGTGTATACATATGTTTGTAACTGTGTGTGTTTGTGTGTATATGTCTGTGCTGTGTGTGTGTCTGTGTATCTACGTATGTGTCTGTGGCTGTGTGTGTATTCATGGTATCTGCTGTGAGTGTGCTGGTGTGTGTTTGTGTGCCTATGTATGTGTGTATAAGTGTATGTATGTATATGTGACTGTGTTTGTTTGTGTGTACATGTCTGTGTGTGATTGTGTGTGTATGTCTACAGCTGCATGTGTCCCACCTTAGATTCTGATTGCTGTGAGTCAGACGTTCAAGACTCAAGTGTCCCTCGTGGGGCTGCAGTGGTGGATGGGAAGGAGGCAGGGGTGAGGAAGCCTTGGCACGCTCTGTGGTAAGGATGAGGCTAAGACCCCCTCCTTGCCCACGTGTCCACTGAGGCACTCCCATAAACCAACCTTTGATCTGTTCCACTTCATCCTCAAATGTCACGGAGCTCCTCCTCTTGGGTGGACAAGTGCAGTGCTGGGGAGGGTTGTCCTCAGAAGTACCATCTTCCAGGAGCATCACATCGGTGCCTAAGACAGACAGAAGATCCATGTGCATCTACAGACACCATCTTCTCCCCTCTCTCATACCTCGGGACTCTGGCCCCAGCCCTTCAATCCCGCAAGCATGTCCAGCAAACTGTACTGAAGCAGACGCTTTACGAACAGCGCGTGTCATCCATCCCAGGGTTCACAGACAGGGGAAGAGCTGCCACACCATCTAATGTACTAGTGGACAGGCCCTGAGGAACAACACCCAAGAGGTAGTCCTTTCCTGTACCCAACCACCTCTGCCTGCTTGCTTGTGTCTGTTACCTTAGGGCACTGTGTCCCAGGAACCTTGGTAGGATAGGGATAGGACTTGTGGCTGGCACCTAAAGGAGGCCACCAGTCAGAAAAAAATTCTGTCTTCCCTGAGGCTGTCCCCTCCTCTGGTAGCCCAGAGGGCTGCACATTGTGTGGTGTCTCAGGAACCATGGGTTATGAGGCTCTGTCAACCTACATCCTTCTTCTGTGGTTGGAGGGGAAAGTGGTTCTCTGTCACTCCCCAGGTGGCTTCCCCACAATCAGACATGGAGCTCAGAGCTCCGGTCACTGACATCTGTCCACTGAGCCCTGCCTTGGCCAGAGCCAGGGCTTGGTTCTGATTTCACTAACAGCTCTCTCTCCAGCCCAGAGATTTTTCCAAAGCTCCCAGTGGGGGCTGGAAAGAAGGCTCAGCTCTTAAAGGCACACAACCAAAACGATGGAAGTTCCCAGGGGTGTGGGAACAGAAGAGCTTGGGGTTCACTGCCACACTTGCTGCTTGTTTGGTGATTGGGTGGCCTCTCTCTGTGGCTTAGAGCATCAACAAGAACTAGCTCCAGATGTGGCCCCTCACCAACATAAACCTGTGAATTAGTGAAGACAGCTTCCAGTCTCTGGCTGAGTTGTCCCCACTCAGTGCCACTCAGCAAACATGGGATCCGGCCACCACAGCTCCCCATAAGCACAAGAAGCAGGCCCTAATGTTATGAAGCCAGTCGCAGGAGGGAAACTGGGAAGCAAGTGGGTAGAGTCTAGGGCCTGACTGGGTAGTGATAGCATAATTAGTGTAGAACCATAGGTTTTTCACATTTTAACTTTTAACTTTATTTTTTTTTGGTCTTTAAACATTTTTTAGAGAAATAAATTTTTCTGAGGTCGTTTTAACTTTTCAAAGGCTTTCTAGTACTTTCAACCTCACCATCACACCATGTGGTGGGGAGAGAAGGAACCAAGGGGCCCATTTAGTAGAGGAGAGAACAGAAGTGAAGGAAAGCTGAAAGGCTAGAAGCCATAACAGAAAACCTATCTCCTCCACCCCTTCATCCACAGCCCTCTACAGTCCTCCACAGCCCTTCTCAGTCCTCCACAGTCCTCCTCAGTCCTCCACAGTCCTCCTCAGCACTCCATAGTCCTCCTCAGTCCTCCACAGTCCTCCTCAGTCCTCCTCAGCACTCCATAGTCCTCCTCAGTCCTCCACAGCCCTCCATAGTCCTCCTCAGTCCTCCTCAGTCCTCCTCAGCCCTCCACAGTCCTCTACAGTCCTCCTCAGCCCTCCACAGCCCTCTGCAGTCTTCCTCCATCCTCCTCAGTCCTCCTCAGTCCTCCTCAGTCCTTGGGAAGTGACCAGCCTCTCAGCAGCAATTAACACAGCCAGTTTACACAAGTGAGAGGTTTTCAGAGTGCGAACATTACCTGAATCCTGAGAGTAGCTGAAACCTGTGTCACCGGTGCTGCTGCTGTGTCCCAGGGACTGTCCGCCTGCCATGAGCGCCGTGAGGTGTGGGGACAGACCCAAGTCTGAAAGGCAAAGTTGGCATTGGTAGAAAAAACACGGGCTGCTGACTTCCTAGCTTCTGGCCCCCCTGACCTACCAGCTCTCTTTTGAATTCTGTCTCCAGAAAACTCACTCCTGACCCACCAGAAGACAGAAATCCCCGGCTGCTTTCCCCTGATTTTGACCCTTGTTTCTTTCCCATGGGGAACCTTCCTGACCTTGTCAGACACCAAGACAGGCGAAGAGCTCTAAGCTGAGCAGTTATGTGAGCAAACCTTCCAGTGACACAGAAAACTTAACTTCCATACATAGTTAAAAAGCCTTCCCAAAGGTAGAGTTTGGAGAAGGTGTAAAGATAAAGACATCTGTCATTTGATGTCTGTGCTATCCCATAGCAGAAGGATAAAGACAGACAGAGTGGCCTGGGAAAGAGAACTGAAGTTCTCATGAAAAGTCCTCATGAGAGAGCCTTATTCTCACCAAGGGCCATTAAGGCTTTGGAATTACAGGCCCAGGAGACTGCCCAGTGGTGGGCTCCACAGACCATCTCAAAGCAGCTGGACACCGCAGTGCCCTTCCTGTCTCAGCCTCAGCACCCCCTCCCCAGTGTCAGCAAAGGAAGTGGAGGCCATGGACCTGAGAGGGGGGGGGGGAGGTGTGTGTTGTGGCAGGGGGCATTGAGACTACAGGAGCACTCCCCTTTGGAAAACCAGCCAGGAAAGATGTGTGGGTGCTGAGAGCTGGTAGCCTGTGAGATGGTTCAGCTGGACCACCCCACAACAAGGAAGCCTGCTGGCCCCACCTTACCAGAAGCTTCCCAGCTAAAGGGATGACAGGGATGACTACACAGTTAAGGCAAGTCTCCAGCATGACAGACATATGAGAAAGAGGGGCTGGGCGAAAGTTCTAAGAGGAGACAACAAAGATCTTAAAGAAAAGTCATTAACTGGGTACATAGAAAAGTTCAAAAAATAAATCTGTGAAGAGCTGGAGGGTTATTGAAAAATATGGAGATAAAAATCTTCAATAAAAGCTATCCTATGTATAGTATCTGGGGAGTTAAAAAAAAATCTCATAGAAATTACAAGCAGGCCTACTAGATTTAATGGACACTATAGTTGAATGTGCCCCTTAAAAGTTCCTTTGCTGGGAAATTAATCCCCAAGTGTTGAAATGTGGGGCCTAATGAATGGACTAATGCCATTATCACAGAAGGGGTCAGTTACCTCAGGAACAACCATGAAGCTGGAGAGGTGGCCCAGAGGTTAAGAGCACTTGCTAGGGCTGGAGAGACGGCTCAGTGGTTATGAGCACGGACTGCTCTCCTAGGTCCTGAGTTCAATCCCCAGCAACCACATGGTGGCTCACAACCATCTGTAATGGGATCTTCTGCCCTCTCCTGGCGTGCAGGTGTACATGCAGATAGAGCACTCGTACATTAAATAAATAAAACTTTGCAGAAAGTCTAGGTTTGGATCCCAGCACACACACAGTGGCCCAACTCCTTTTGAAATCCCAGTGCCAAGGGAGTTGATGCCCTCATCCAGCCTCTGACAGTGACGCGCAGGCATACGGCACACACGCATGCATGCAGGAGAGACACTTGGTATTTTTACCTTCACAAAATGAAAGCAAATAAATGAAGAGGAAGAAAAGAGGAGAAAGGGAGGGGGAAAAGGAAGAAGAGAAGGAAGAGGCGGAGGAGGAGGAGCAGAAGGAGCAGAATGCTTTGGGTTTGGTTTAATCATGAGTTTGGCCGTTTGCTCTCTGGTCTTGCCCTCCCTTGACTCTCTTCTATTATGGGATAGCACAGACACCCATTAGATGACAGTGCTGTGCTCTTAAGACTTCCAACCTAGGCCAGACAGACCTTTAATGACAGCACTTGGGAGGCAGAGGCAGAACTCATGGGTATCTGTGAGTTCAAGATCAGCCTTTAGTTAGTTTCAGGATAGCCAGGGCTACACCAGAAATCCTGTCTTGAGGAGGGAAGGAAGTGGGTACAGGGACTTCCAACCTTCCCAAATTTTAAGCCAAGTATAAATCACTGTTTGCTATAAACCACCCAGTCTCCATCACTTTGATAAGGTAATAGAAATCAGACTAAGATAATGGGCTACCATAGAGAACAATATTCTCCTGCAATATACTCTAAGACAGGAGAAAGATTTCTTTTTAATTAAATCCTCGTATTTCCCTTTCTTTCTGAGAGCAAGGAGGAAGTGGTGGGGGTAGGGAGATACACAGGGCAGCTACCTTATCAGTGGGGGGGGGTGGAGTAATAAAAAAAGCAGCCACCTTCTCTCAGAACCATCCACATAAGCAGCTGTCAGTTTGCTTTGATTGGTTACAGGGCTGAGACTAGAGAAGCCCCGAAGTCTCCCTGTACCTGCTTATCCCCTCTGACACATCGGCCTCTGAACATGGCTATGTTCAATAGAGGGCCTGATTCAAGGAGTGGAGCCCCTCAGGGCTATCTCTTGCCAATGGGATGGTGGCAGCCAGTGTTTAGACACCAGCTCTGAGGCTGCAGCAAAAAGCCAAGAACTTGTGTTTTGGTATCCTCTAGTAAGAGCAATCCTTCAAGCCAGACCACTGTGGTAGACACAGCTACCCTGAGATTTCACAGAACACCACCATTTCCCACGGGAATGAGACACATCTAAACCTTTCAATGAAAACAGTAGGCTAGGCCCAGGGACCAGGTTTGCTCCTCAAGAACATGCACCAGGAGAAGGCACTTGTGCATTTTAGAAGCTGAAGAACAGGGTGGGATTCTGAGGTGCAGCAGAAGTTGAGCTAACACGAAGACCTCATGCTATCACCAGGAAAGAGGTTTAGAACAGGAAAGGGAGAAAACTCAAAGGCCTCAGCATTATTCCCCACCCCACGCTCAGACCTCCCAAGGCTGACTCGGTTTCCCGAGTGACTGACAGATGGGACCCTCCTTCCCAGAAGATAACTGAGAGCTCTGCTCTCAGTCACAGGGACTTCCACATCTGAGATGCAGGTGCTCTGAGCAAAAGGGATGTTTCCTTCTGACCCTTTATCCTGTGGTCTTTTCTTTCCTCCCTCTGCCGGAGACCCTCTCTGTTCCAGGTGTGTTACAGCTTAGCATCAGTTCAGCACACAGCTCACCAATCACACTAGGGACCAACTTCCACTCCATGGCGCCCCACCCACCTTGAGGTGGCACTCCCTGGCAGCCTCCAGGTGCCCTGGAGATCTCTATTCCTACATAAATCCCGCCCACCCACTAAGGGGACCTCACAAGCAAAAGGACTGGGTGGCTCAGTGACAGCTGGCATCCCGGAGGTGAACACCCCAGAGAACTTCTTTAGTCTGAGGTGAAGAGAGTGTAAAATCCAGTGATTATGAATGAATTAGGCTCTGCATGAAGTCGCCACTGTAGTGTGCTTGGGATGTTCAAGGCATGTGTGGAATTCTGTTTCTGCCTTTGCGTGTCTCAGGAACAATGCCAATTCTGCCTACTGACTTCTTCAGTGTCAACCTTTCATGTACTGCACAAGACTACAAAATCGTGGCAGGGCCTCCATCTTGTTGGCCACCTTTGTACCCCCTGCAAATATGAGGGCATTTGCCTTCCCAAGGTGAGCACGTTTGAAAGCAGGTTTGCCCAGCAGTGGTGGTGCACGCCTTTAATCCCAGTACTTGGGAGGCAGAGGCAGGCGGATTCCTGAGTTCAAGGCCAGCCTGGTCTACAGAGTGAGTTCCTGGACAGCCAGGGCTACACAGAGAAACCCTGTCTCAAAAAACAAACAAACAAAACAACAACAACAAAAAAGCAGGTTGATGGCAAGGGGGGTAACCTAGGCTTTGGAATCGGTTGTATTTCTAAGCCTCGTGTGTAGAGGGCAATTCTGGTGAGCCTGGCTGAGACAGAGGACTTTGCATGGAAGTTCAGGGTTGCCCTTCTGAAGGAGGTGGATCAGGAAGACAGTGGGTATCCCTGGTTTGGACGGCCATGAGTGTGTACCTGGGACAGGGCCTATCTTGCTCCCCAGTCCCTAAGATACTAATGTGGCTCACTGGCCTCCTACAGTCAGGCCCTAAGCAATAGTCACTTTCCAGTCCCAGCTCTGGAGAAGCCAAGGATTCAGAACCCATCAGCCCACAAGACTGCTTTTTCCTGAATGAGCCTCAGACCACCAATGGCTTTGGGTTTGCCAACTCAGCCACAGCTGGTGCTTTCTGACACTCCCGAAGCTTGCTAGTCCCTTCCAGAACAATCACAATTTGCATAGTAAAGATTTTTTGTTCTATCTACCCTTTCCTTTTATCATTCTCTGCTCTAGTTGTTTTTCCTTCTTCTTTCTTAGTTTCAGTGGAATTGAAAGCATCTGTTAAGTTTTTGCCAAGAAGATAAGTTATTATAAAAATCTGAGCCAATAAGTTCACCAATAGGATGGAGCCAAGCACTGAATGTGCCTTCTGGCTCACAAGTCACACTTGGGAACATGAGCTTGTAAATGGCAAGGGGTGGGCACTTCAGACTAAGAGACATGGAGATAGTTCTCCTTCCTGTGCTCAAGAGAAAATTTACCAGATCTCCCCTACCCGTGAATACTTCTCTACTAGTCCACAAAGGAAATATATTAGCAGATGTCTGTCACAGGCACGTGCACAGGGCATCTTGTCGTCTCTGGCCCTCAGTGTTCATAGGCAAAAAGGGTCATGTCTTTTGCCCTCTTGAGGGTGAAGGTGGAGGATCTGTTTCCTGAGAAGAGAAGCTAACTAGGTCTGGCAAGAAGTGAGCGCTACAGGCTGAAGGAGGTGCACTTGAAATCTTCCGATAGCTTAGCTGGATGATGGTCTTCCTCAGCATGGCTCTAAAATCCCAACCATGCTCCCTTCAGAGCAACATAACCATATCTATCGTGAGCAAGATGCACCAGTGCATGCTAGAATCAGGGGGTCACAGCTCAAGGAAAACTAGGATATTTCCAGTCTGGAAGCACCTCCTCTGGCATACATGCTAATTACAGTGGAAATAGTGAAGGCAAAAGGCTGAGAGGCCACATCTGAAGCAAGAGGTCAAGGGTCAGCCAGTAATAAGATACGCTGACTCTTATGGCCCTAATCTGACACGTGAAGAGGATCCCACCAGTCCTGCAGCGTTCTTGCCCAAAATATCCCACCTCATTCTGAGCACCAGATTTACTCAAGAGCACTCTACAAAAGGCCTGACCAATCCTTTATAGAAGTGTCTGGGTGAGACCGTGGTATAACACAAAGGAGGCTCTAGGGGCTGTCTTGTATTGCAGTCATGTAGGTTGATACTATGGGAAGCTCCCCCATATTATGTTTCCAACTCTTCTAAACCTGAAATTATATGAAAAGAAAAAGCTGAAAAACATCTAACCTCTGATTAGAGCAACTCCCCTGGGTTGCTGGAGGGTTGTGTGTGTGTGTGCGTGTGTGCGTGTGTGTGACTCATGTGTCCCACCAGATAGAGTAGCCCTGAACACAGGACAGTGACAGATAAAAGGCTATGGTTTGGCATTGATACGCTCCTCTAAACACACACTCACACAAAAGATTACCAGGGACTAACAGAAGAAACCACTGACCTGGAGGGGGAGCTCAAGGTGACAAGAGTTTGGGAGGAGGGACAGGCCGAGCGAACTAGTGAGGTTTGGAAGGAGCATCAAAGAGAGGCAACACTGAAGGAAACTGTTTACCAAACAAGAAGGCAGCCTGGCCCAAGGCTCAAATTCCTTCTTCTGCAGTAAAGTGGCTATTCCCTCCAGACCATGAGGCTCCGGCTACAGTCCCAAAAAATCAGCTTCCAAATCACAAGGTCCCCGTCTCACTCTCCAAGGACATGTACCAGGGGCTATTCTGACCTCTTCCTCAGCATGCTCCTGCCACGGCTAAGTGGTGGAAAGCTACGTGGGAGTCTCCATGGTGACTCCGGTGTGGCTCTTCATCACGGGAATTCTGTGCCTTGAGACCATAGTCACCCTGAAACTGCTGTACTGACTGGCAGGCCCTTAGCAATTGGGAAGGACCCCAGGTGACATCTGCCTGGGGGCTGGGGGGCTGAGTGTCTTTTCCCTAATTACCTGTGATCCTGTTGGAAATGCTGAAGAGCCTGGAGGTCCTCTGTCGCTGCACAAAGGGTTCCCGGTAATAACGGTCCCCAAAGCACATGCCCAGGAGCTCCTTGCGAACTGTCTTGTTCCAGAGTCCATAGATCAGAGGATGGCAGATGGCACTGGTAAAAGACAGCCATGTGGCCCAAGTCTCCAGGGTTGGGGAGACATAGTTCTTCCCCCAGAGTGCCTCTGATGTAATGACGACCATGTAGGGGCCCCAGGTGACCATGAAGGCGCCAATGACCACCAGGATGGTGATGAGGGCTTTACACTGGTTAGCTGAATAGACCACTCCCTGGAGGGCATTCCTCCTACTGCCGGAGGAGGAAGTGGAGGTACTAGAATTCTTCCTCCCACTCCTCTGGGCATCCTCCTCCACAGTGACCACCGTGCCACAGTGCACCTTTCGGGCCTTGACCCTGGCCACCCGGAAGATGAAACCGTAGCATACAAGCATGATGAGAAAGGGGAACAGGACACACCAGATCTGCCAGAAAACGGTGTAGCCAGGTTCCCGGTGCCAGGCGGCCACACACATCCACTTGAACTCATCAAACTCCACCGATGACCAGCCGAATAGGGGTGGCAGACAGCCAATGAGAGAGTGAAGCCAGATGTAGACAAGCGCCATCACAGCTCGGTTCCCTGTGATCTTCATGGGGTACACCATTGGATACAGGACGGCGTAATAGCTAGAAAAGATGGTGGGGAGGAGAGAGAGAGGCGTTATACAAAATCAAGGTGCCCTACTTTCTTGGGTGTGACTCTTGAACTTCTCCCAACTAACCCCTTGTGCCGTGAAGGCTTCTATGACAGACATGTTCACCCAGCCCTCCCCAGAGAAGCAACAGGCTACACCATGTCAAAGCTGGACACTAGCGTGGTCCTGTGTGGTCCTGTGTATAGGTTAGCACATCAGAGCCCACTTGTATTTAGGAATTTGTCTATCCTCTTCAGAATTATCCTAATCTGCTTTCTGTTACTGTGACAAACACCAGGACTGACCAAACCAACTTGATTTGAGGAGGAAAGGATTTGTTTGGCTTACCACATCACTGTATACATCTGGAAAAACAGAGGGCTGTTAATAGGGCTGTCTTGAGGGTGAATTGAGCTAAATGTTGACAGTATAGTAAAATGCCTGGCTTATGACAGATATCATGCGACAGTAAAAATCAGGACCTGGTTTCTAGCTGTCAGATGCTACATGCTTGGGATACAACCTATCTTAAATAATGGCACTTCTATCTTATTTTGTCTTGTCTCCAAATCTGATGCAAACTTACCGATCGATGGCAATGACCCCAAGGGTGAGCATGCTGGCTGAGCTGATCAACAGGTAGAGAAGGGCAGAGAAATTGCACCAGACCACGCCGAAGATCCATTCCCTCCGGATGGAGCTAGTCACCACGAACGGCAGCACCAGCACGGACAACAAGAAGTTGGACAAGGTCAGGCTGAAGACGAACTTGTTGCTGAGGGTGAGGAGGTAGGACTTCTTATACAAGGTAACTACAATGACCAGGTTGCCCAGGCAGACGAGGACAGTGATGATGATGATGGCGATGAACTCAGAGATGGCACCCCCTTCACCACCCTCCGTCACAGTGAGGTTGCTCAGCTCCGTCCTGTAGCTGAGGGAGAAGTGGAGGCTCATGGTCAGTGCACCTCGGGATGCGGTGAGCAGAGCATACTGGACGGCTGCAGAAAGAAGGCAGGACCGGAGGTTGAAGAGACTCATCGGGTCACATCATTTACACTCTATGAGAGAGGGATGAGCCTAGCAGGGCTGTTATGTACCTCACGGTGGCCAACTTGTTTAGTCTCCTTGACAATCTTTCCCACGAAACTTCTACAACTTATTTTGTGTCCAGCTTGCTGACTCTGGAATTGACTACCATACCATCTCATTCCCTGTGGTACCTTGGCTTTGGGATGTCTCTCCAAGACCCACACGTCAAAACTTTAGCACACAGCAGGGCACCATGAAGGGGTGGGGGGTGAACAGTTAGGATGTGAGCCCTGATGTGAGATTTTGGTCACTGGAGAATTATGGAGTACTGCCTTTTCCTCTTCCACAGTTTTGATTACTGACTGAGGTAGGTAGTTCTCCTTAGCCATACATTCTACTGTGATGTGCAGCTTGCCACAGGCCCCTAGCAACCGACCCCATTTGGACTAAAACCTCCAAAACCCCTGCCCTTAAAATTTTCTCATGCAGTACTAGGCATCAAATCCAGCATATACTAGCAAGCACTCTGCCACTGAGCTACACAGCCCAAATCTGCCATTTAAACGAGCAAGCAGAGGGACAGGTAGCTTGTCTTAAGCATGCTCTGTGGGACATTTTGTAGACTGCTGCTCTGGACTCTTGCTAGATTTTTAAACTGGCAAAACTGTCATCATAAAGGAGCTCACAAGGACCTCAGGCCACCTTGAATTACAGAATCAAAATACACACTTCAATCCCATCCCAGCTGACTTGGGGACACATGAGAATTTTGATCATAAGATTGTCCTAATAGCAATTCAGAGTTTCTGAGCAAGGTTAATCAATAAAGGTTAATACCAAAGCAGGGTGGTTGTTCTTATTAGGTATAGTGGAGGCAAGGGAGCAAGGAGGAATCGTGGATGGAGACAGGAAGACGCTATCTTGGCCCACACAGACTTCACTATTAGGTGTGGTCCCTGCTCTCAGGAAACTGGCTCAAGATCTTGGCTAAAATTCAAGGTTGAAACATTTTAAGCATAAAATATGTAGACTAATGTTTCTTCAGAACTTTTCATCTACTTTAATCAGCCAAAAAAAAAAAAAAGTCCCACAGATTGCTTTCCCCACCTGCTCTTGTCCTCCATGAACAGAAAACACCAGAAAGGGACGACAGCTTCTGTGAGACAGACAAGGTCCCTGGTGACTAAATTACCCCCACACAGCAGCCAGATGATCCCAAAACCCTCCGAGAGGACCTGTCACCCCTATCCAGTCCCCTTTGCCATAGGAGCAGGAGGTGAAGAAGCAGCCTTTCTCTTCACAGAACCCCTAGAGCCAGCTGGCAAGCCCCACTGCAGGGAACCCAACCTTAGCCAGGCTGCCTGGAGCAGCACTAACACAACCCCCTCATCCCAGACATCCCCCGCCCCTCCTCCTCCTCCTCCTTTTCCTCCTCCTCTTCCTCTCCCTCCTTTTCCTCCTCCTCCTCCTTC